TTGACTTCAGCTCCGCAATAACTATGGCCGATGCTTCAAAGTGCAGGCGCCTAAGCCCAGCAAGAGCTCCGAAGCTAAGATCGACACCACTGTTGAGATTCGTGGCAAACTCTTTGAATGCTTCGTCTGATGGTTGAGATTGGGGCGTCCCTACCGCAAAGGCTAGGGCGCTCAAGTTCTTGATCTGTTGACCCTTTAACAGGTTGAAAAGGAAATCTGTGTCATCGACCCTCATGCAGTGTTGCTCAAAAGCCGCTTCCGAATCCGCGAGAGACATGTCAGCGATCTGGCAAGACGTCAACACAAATTCATGTTTCTTTAGATGCTCTGTCACCCATGTGAAAACCGAAAAGGGTTATGAGGATGCTTGAAACATTCTGACTGAGCTCCATGCCACGACCTAGATCACTATGATGATATTGACCGCCCTTGGGCCGATCAACAATCCATGTGATCTCAGACAGGTCAGCCAAGTCAGCTCTAACCGCCTATTCTCACAAGCGTTAAACAATTCCTGGCGCCCCGTTCAGGCTGCCAGATTAAAGCAATGCCAGTTCAGTAACCGCTACCTCAAGCGCAGTTCCTAGTTCCAAGGACTTCCAACTGCACAACGAGGTCTCGTTTTTCGTCTGGTCTAAGAATGTCTGCGCCGATTTGTGAGGTCAAAACCTCTTCAAACACCAGGTGTATCTGATACACCTGTTTCGGAGGCAGCAAAACGCAAGAAAATCAACCGCAAGCAAGAAGCATCATCAGCATCCTCTGCGGCTAGGTTTGGGACGCCAATGGCTCCTAACTGCACAAGGAGGCCTCGTTTCACGTCTCTTTTAGGAACGTCTGCAAAGGTTCCTCGTGCCGATACTCAACACGTCCAACCTTGCTCTCATCCCTAAACCACACCGTGACCGTTTAGCGCTACGACCCACTCGTAAAGCACCCGTGTTTTCTCCTCAAGGCTTTAGCTGTCGAAAGCACTGCTTGCACTTCGCCGCATCGAATCTGATGAGCCCTGTGTGCCTGGTGACGCTGGCGGTGATCTTCCTTCCACATGAAAGGATCTTCACCCTATCAGCTGGAGCCAAGTGAAACATTTTTGTACGGCCATTGAACCACATTCCTAGTTTCTGAGGAATCGGAACATGATGGTGGCTGACGGCTGGCTTAACTATGCATCGCTCATCATCCGATGAATCCTCGCTTTCCGTGGTCACATGCCCCTCGTCGAGCTGTGGCTCTACCGGGACTTCGACCTGCTGTGGATCAGGGTTAGACCCCGTTAGATCGGCGCCTGTTGAATCCATCGAACGGTTATTCGAAGGCTCCTGTCCGAGTTGCAAAAGCTCAATTTCGCCCAACTTCTTGGCATCACTTTTAAGCCGTCCACTGCGAGTGTTGTCAGGCTCGAAGACCCCGGTCCTAATTTCATTGAGTACGTGACATAGCAAGGCTAACGGTCTAGCTGCACTATCACGACTATACACCATTGCAATCCGGAGTTTATTGGAGTGATATCCCAATGTCAACCGGTCCTCAAAACTAGCACAGCGTTTTGCCATGAAGCTCAGACATGTTGCTTTTGCAAGAATGACTTGTGAGCCTCGCTCCAGCCTGCATGTTGTCAGGCCCCAAGAGACTTGCAATCCACTTTTTTGCTTCCTGCGTTGACAGGGCCCTTTTGGTAGGGCTTAGATCCGCACCTGGCGCCGGCATCAACGGATAGGAACCAAGGTCTTCCACACCTAAACTCCTACGAACTTCAAGCCACTGTTCACCCCATCCATCATCAGTCACACCAAATGCTGGGGCAGCCAATGGCAGGAACATGTGACGAAGGTGCAAGGATCTAGCCGTCTTACGCACTGATGTCTTGACTTCAATGAACTGCAAGATCAAATCTGTGTCTCGGTCTTCTATCAACTTCTCTGCGTGCTGGGCATCCGACCACCTGGATCTTGCATAGACACAGAAAAGAAGCATACCGGCCATCAAACGATCCCATGCATGTGCTTCTGAATCGGCCCTCAATATCTCATGCAAAATTATCATCTGTTTGACCGTGAATGGGTCTGCCTGTCTAGGGTCCGAACGTTGCTTCGCATTACATGCTCCATAACAGCGTCTGCTATCGATAATTTTCTGCAATGACTCGACCCCTAAAACATGTCGCGCAAAGACCACTGCTTCAAAGTATGCTTTCAACCTCGAAGTTGGTGCACCTGCCTCTGACTCTGATTTGACAAAAGCATAGAACTCACCTTCCGAACACGGGAAAGCCTGGTCACTGTACGACAAGCCGTTCACTATGCGTGCAAGGCTGTTCGCTCGTTTCATCAGCGTCTGGGGCGCCTTGTTATAAAAGATACCGACCAATATCTGAGCTTTGTCTCTAAAGTCAACAGCACTTTTGATTGCACAAATTGCTTCGTCTTCAACTTCGCTCCAAGACTCGATCAAAGCAACCCAGCGCCTAATAGCAGTTTCCCACAATGCCTCACGTTCCTCTTGCCAAGTTTGTTCCGGCACATCTCGAACATGTTCCAGGAATCGAAAGACTTTGGCAGTTCGTGACATGACCCTTCTTTCGACCTCCGGAGTTTTGTCACAGCCTGACGAGTCCGGCGCTCCGACAGGATACGGCCTTTTGAGAGAAGTTCCAAAAGCATCGAGAGCACTAGCGCAAGGATCAAAGAACTTATCCCAAAACCCCGTTTCCCAAGACTGTTTATACGAGTCTGCTTGCAACGAACGCCAGGCTGAACTGGTTGCCAAATCAGGATCATATTTATCACGCAACCTAGCTTCCTTATCAAACAATTCTGCAACTGACTCATCACCGAAGTCTGTTGGGGAGGGCACCGACAAATCAAGCCAACACAAGGGATCCGAGTTCAGATTGACTGCAGAACCTGGAGTTCCACTACTTCTAGGAGACTTGATTTCAAGGCCAGGACCTCCCAAAACGGCATCATCTCCATCCTCAGGTGTCTCCAGATCTAAGACGATGACCGTTTTGGTCACCATCCCCCGGGCTAAACTTCGTTGCGCAAAATTTTTGTGCGTCCCACCACCCTCCCTTTCTTGAGGCGAGCACGCGTGAAGAAGGATCCAAAAAAGATCTCACTGAGATATGTAAATATGTGACACTCAAAAGTTCACAAGAAAAATTTCGAATACATCGAAATCACAATATCGGAATGTCTTTAAAAATTAGGACTGTATCAAAATTGCGCGCGCTAACATTTAAGAAGGTCGCGTTACAATCTACGATTTAAGTTGCCTAATTTTGCACAAAGCAAAATTTTTCCCTTGGTCGAAATAAAGGAAGGGAACATCATTTCTTTGAAATGAGTGCACCCAACATCTCACAATCTCCTGCTGCGCCTGCCGGAAGGTTCCTTTCAGTGTGAGCCTCTTCACACATTTGAACAAATGTGCCTGTAGAATGAGAACCCTTTGTTCCTAGACCCACGTTAGAAGACTTATCAGGCACATTCAGCCTGTACCTGCAAAAGTTAGTTCCAAAAACTCAGAAACCATCATGTCTTTGGGAACGACCATGCCAGCCAGCATCAGCCAGCCAACAGTGTACACCTTCACCCAAACCCAGGACGCGTGGAGCTGGATTGTGAAGGAAATGGGGCCGAGCTCTTCGGATGTGGCTTGGTGCTAATCTACCATACCAACAAATGCGTTCATAGACCCACGTGGCTGCCGTCCAGAGACATCTAATGAATGACCCATTCACATCACAACCGCATGTCATTTGCCACAAAAATCCCACGAAAAGAACAAACTGAGGCATCCATGTGGAGAACAGTGAGAAGATCATCCAGTATGTGCTCAGGAGTCGGCACAGCGGAGATGGCTTTGGCTGCAGTGTCAAACATTGTCAACCAGTCCAATGCCCTAAGCTTCCGGGTGGATATCCGTACAGTGGCATTGTGGGAGCCTCCTCAGCACATCACTGTTGCAGGGTTCATTGCGAGACTGTGCAAGCTACCACCCATGGACGCACCATCCAGGAAGTCCACTACTCAGAACAATCTGTCACTAGTATTAGGATTGAGACGGGTGGTAACTCCCATTGTTGGGAAAAATAGTCTCCATGCTACCAGTGGGTCACTGAGTGAGTCTCAGAAACCAGGCCACCAGGATGCCCCCACCAGAAACTTGTAGTGATGTAATTTGACAATTGAGGCCAGGGTTTCATCAGTAGGTTCCCAATCCAACCTCATTTACTTACAAAATATCCAACTGCTGATCTCGCTGTTTGATTATTAGTGGATTGGATGATTTAAGTATCAGGTAAATGAAATGGGTAAGTTAGAACTTACAGCAATCCCATTGCTTGCCTACTGACCAGAACAGTAACGCTTGGTACAATAGGTGTGTGTGAACACACTCCTCCCACCACTCCCCTTTCCACCCACGCCCCTTCCCAGGAACTTGACGCGAAATGCCACCAGCCGATTTTAGACAACCATGCTTGGATGAACCGGGTCACTGGTTCCACGCATCCTACGCCATGTTTGTTTGCAAACATGCTGCAATTGGTCCCTGCTGACACCTTTCGATCTTCTGAGTGTTGCTTGTCAAGCTTATATATGGATCTGATCTGGTCTGAGTGGCTCAACAGTCGCTGGGAACCAGTGACGGTGGTTCGATTCAGTTCAACGCCGTCCAGGTGAGACTGGAATTCACTCTAAACAAGTATGGGGGCTGCGCAGTACACTCATGCTGTGCTGAGTTCTGACCTCTGGAAAGTGTGGGGTAATGTATATTACAATGCATGACTAACTATACTCATTCAGATGCTAAGGTATGGTTCTAGGTAGTGGAGTCTGTCAGATTGAGTCCTTTGGATCAGGTGTGATCTAGATATCGCGACCTAATCAGAAACATCATAAGTACTAAGTACTCACCCTTGTCCAACTCATCCACTTGGTCCCCACAGCGCTTCCCACAAAGGCTTCAGAGAGAAGAAGAGGAGGATCTACGAGGCCGCGACGATCACCGCCCAAGCCTGTGTGACGCACGGTGGTGGTGAGCAGGCAAGTCAATGCCAGGTGCCACATGTGGATTTCGATGTGAGCGGCCTTCCATGTACAGACAACTCTCGGGCAAAGAGGGGCAGAGAGCTTGAAGAAGGCCCAACAGGACCGCTTTTTGCAATTTGGGCATTGAGGTATCGCCGCTACAGGATTCCTCTGGGCATTCTGGAGAACACACCAGAACACTTGTCTGTGTCCTAACATGGTTTTTGGTGTTAGGCTGTGTGTGGGACTGATCACTTAATGTGAACATGCTCCTTTCCCCTGGGACCCTGTAGTGATTTGACTCACTGTTGGTCAGTGTAACAATGAAAGTGTAAGTGGATTTGAAATCTCAAGCCCCAAAACAAAACCTTCAATATCTTGCTTGGGTGGACCCTGTGGACAGAACAGCCCACGTAGCCCGCTCCCCGCCTTGTTCAGCAGTGTGCGGCGTAGTGGGATCTGGGCGGGCCTAAGCGAACCGTCCCATCTGAGGATCTGCGCGTGGATGTAATACATTCATTGCTGGGAGACCTGTACAATTTACACCCCATTCTGGTTGATATGGACCACTGTGGGCATGGTGGCGCCAGTCGCAAGCGCGTCTATGTGATTGTGGTGGCCTCCAAGACCCAGACCAAATGCTTGGTTGACCCTATCACACTCTATAGGGCGTTGGTTGAGGAACTACACCAACGGCAAACTAGCTTGGATTGCACCACCGCACCAGGGGACTACCTCACTGCAGACCCAATGGAGATCCAGCTTGATGCAATGGAAGTGGCCCGTGCCTGGGCTCTTTTAAGTGAGAAAGGGACAGGTCCTACAATAAATCAAAATGACCACGCAGACTCTGACGAGTCTGAGTAAAGAGTCTATTTATGCAATTACGCTATCTGACAAACTCAGTCAGACTCTCTCAGGCTTCAGTCACACTGTTTGTCATACTGGCTCCTGACTGACCTCACTCACTCACTCACTCACTCACTCACTCACTCACTGAGGCTCTAGTGGCAAGGAGTTCAGGTCAAATTGCAAGAGCCTTGACTACCTCCTGACTGAAAGGGAGGCAAAGGTGGTTGCAGAGCTTTCCCATGAGTACCAATCAAGGTATCAACGTGACCCACAGACTGATGAACATCTTTGCGTGCTCTTGGGAGACAATCCCCAGTGGGCTCGGACATGGTCGGCTGTGAGTGGCAAAGTTCCAACATTTCGCCGCAATGCTGCTGGAAAGTTCTGGTACCCTGCACACCAAAGATTTTTGACCAGCTGTGAGAAGCACCTCGCCAGTTGTAGTTGTTTTTAACTTGTAGTTTGTCTTCTTGTTTCTGGGACTGTGTGTGTGACTCTGTGCTTCACTAGTCTGGTGACTCAGCCCTGAATTATAATTAGGGTTTAAATATTTTCCATATATTAATAAATTATTTAATTTTTAAACAGGTTACTTCCACTTATTATGTCCACTGACTAATGGGCCTCAGAAAGGCATTGACTTAAGTTAAGCCATGATGGATGTGATGTGAATTGAATAGGCTGCGCCTTGCACTGATCCAAGGCTGACAGTCCTCTCCTTTCCCATCCGGCAAGCAATGGGGGATGCGATTGGGTGCGAGCCAATCCCAGTGCGAGATCCCAAGAGGGCAGCAGCTCTTGTTGGAAATGCAATGGCCTTCTCCTGTGTGGCGTTGGTGGAGATGGTTGCCCTATCCTGCTTCCAATTGAGGGAGTGACTTTCTAGGGCAAACACTAGGCGATGGTTTGGCGTGCCTGTGGTGTCAAGGTCAGCTGATGCTCTCACCTTGTGTACAGTGACAGGCAGGCTATAATGTCCCAGAATGTTGCTTGACAACACTTGGCACTGTCACCTGCTGTGTGCTGGTTTTTTGGACTCAGACTGATTCAATTGAGTGCGATATATACTTGTAAGCGTGTTGAGACGTGTTTGGAGGCGACTAAATGACAGGCCAAGTGGCCAGGATCCATCACAATGCCCAATGCAATACATGATGCAAAGGCGCATGCTGGCGGTGCCAATTCAATGGCTGACTGACCAACCGTCCATCAGAGAGGCAGAGTGTCCAGAAACATGTGTATGACTGTTCTTGTTTCTGAGTAGGAGGACTCGTCCTGAGTCTATGGAATGACTCAGTGCGGTGATGCAATGTACATTCTATACTACTGCAACCTTGCTGCTGAGCTAGACTAGACTAGATTCAAACACAATCATTGAGTGTGAATCCAAGCAGTCTTACAGCGTCTTACAGTTTCAGAGTCTCTTGGAAGATTTGTGGCCACAAACACTCGATGCACCTGGCCCAAATTCAATCAGTCTTGATTGAGGGAGTGCTCACGTTTGATCCTTCTGTGTGTGGACCATGGCTGGCCGTGGGAGTGGAACCCCATTGCCTCCTATCCAGGCCAATGCAGTGCACACGCCTCAACATAGTCCAGCTGGAGCTTTGACTCCATTGACGCGTGGCTTCGTCCTCGGGAGGGGGGCGAAGAAGGGATGCCAATGTGATCTATGCCAGCTATTTTGGACAGCTGAAGGACTGATGAAGATTCAAACTGAATGTGTCTTAGGGGTGTGATTGAGATATGTTCGAATCAAATCATGTTTACAAAGTGTACGCGCCACAGTGGAAACCACCTCTACTGGTTGAACACGTTGGGGGTGATGGGTCATGGGTGGAACACAGGTGTTGAGTCAATGTAGCCCTTGAGTGCATTAGTTGTTCGAAGCGATGGTGCACTGCCCACACTGGTTGTGGACACGAATCACTGGAATCACTCACCCTTCCTGTGAACAACTATATGACTCGGGTCCAGTACAAATGTTACAAATGACAAACCACCCTTATTCCTGATTGAAAGAATTAGGTGTGTGCCTTTAAGACTTAAAGTATGTGGCTGGAGACTAGAAGCAATTGAATTTTGGGATGGCAACATCATGATGATTCGGACCCACTATGACATCAATAACAATGCCTTCTCACACTGCGTCCGATCCCATCTCACCCTATCTTTGTTAAACCCCTTGGTGATTGAAATGATTGAAATACAACTCATTCAATGGTAATGGCCTCTGTAGGGGTGTCTTAATAAAGACGAGTTGATTCATCCCCACAAACAATCAATACTCACCATTTCTGGCAGCAGTGCGGGTTGAAAACGCAATAATACATCTGTGCGCATTGCTGGTAGGAGGCGACCACCTTTCATGCGCCCAAAGCCCTCAACTCTGCCATGCCCCTTCACCGTCACATGGTGTTGCCAAGGCATTGGAGGCTGGGGAGACACCGGATGAGCCCAACAAGAAGAAACCTGCTACTGGCGCCAGGTCGGAAGCATCAACAAGGGCACCAACCGAAGCATCTTCAAAAGCTTCCTCCAAAGCTTCGGAGCCCCCCAAGGCCAAGGCTCTGGCAAAGGTGGAAGCAGCCAAGAAGACGGACGTGGCAATGCCACCTGTGTGAGAGACTGAATGGTCCCATGGCTTGGGTAGATTGGGCCCCTGTGATTTCCTTCACAACGCAAACACAAATGAAGTAGTCTGTGTTCAGATTGGGGATAGATCTGTGCTATTCCAACATCGATACTGGACCCTCGACTGGACCTGGATGTCGCCCTAAAACTTACCTGAGGCAAGATCACCAATCAGGAGCTAACCATAAAACGGTTCTTGCGTTGTTTCCTTGGTACTACCCAACCCTGGTCTGGCTTTCGCAACATACTACCATTAGACCATACACCTCCATTTGAAGGAACACATTGACCCTGGCGATGGTGTGAGTTTACTTGAGCAAGGGAAACAGGTCTCTTTCCCAGGCCACGGCGCTCACCCTGTGTGAGAATTTTGGCTATGATGCCACAGCTCCGGATGGGTAATAGCTGCGACTGCGGAAGTGTGATGTTATTTTTTGGTTGACCAGTTAGAGGCTACCCAAACACTTGGATGATTGGTGCTCTCATTGAAGCCCCAAAATAAATAAACATCATATGAATGGTCGAGTCGAGTCATGAAAACAATGTCATTGACATTGATGTAGGGGGGGATTTTGATTTCCGCCTGTGAGATCTGTTACCCGGAGGGTTCAATCACAGTTGGTTGCTAGAGGTTTGATGAATGGTGTGCACTGAGTCTTTAGATGGTCACATGTGTACCCCCAACCCGCCACTGAATCAAACCGTGACTGCCACTCTAACTAAACGTAGGCTCGACTCTAAGTGATCTGAATTGTGAATTGAGTCACACTCTAGTCTAGCTTTATTTTGGGTGGCCACTGGGAAACCAGGTGCAGTGCCACACACCAGTTGTGCTGAGGGGAAGCTGGTCTGTCAGGTTCAGCGTGGTGGCTGGGCGATGCCCTTGAATCATTGACTCTATTTATCAACTTCTTTAGGTCGACTGAGGGACTACGAAGCCCCCAACAAACAATTTACAAATGGGGTTTGTATTTATGGGTCGACTTGCTTCATTGCATTACTTTCTTAGGCGCGGTAATGACGAGTCACGCTGTGGACGGGCTTCCCCAATCATCCGTTGCAGCTACTGTGGCAAGCTTTGATTTGCAAATCAAAGCGGAAAAGTGATGCGCTGTGCTACCCTGCAGCTGTGCACTTTATCAGACCTGGGTTGAAATGAGGTTGAGTCATTGAGGCCATTGGGTTTTGTCTATTAAAAGAGCTGAGTTTGTTCACTGTTGATTCCAACAAAGGAAACAGCGTATTCCCAAGCACCAAGACATTTCTTCAATCAATTTGGATTGAATTGGTAGGTGTCTACACTGTTCTGAAATGCAAACCCTCTTAAATTAAGGACTCTTAGAGTTTCTGAAGAGGGGAGTCTGGTTGGTGGACCCATGGAGCAGAGTTCATTCACCCATCACCCCTCCCTGATTTGTTGCTTTCTTGCATTGATCACCTCACCCGGCCCAGGCCATATCGAAGCACATCTCTGGTCTGTGTGGCACAGAGACCCTGGACTGCGCGTGGTTCAGGGTTGCCTTTGTCACATCCACTGAAGAAGGACCGACCACGTTTGGGATTTGCTATGGAAGTGACACTGCTTGTTCTGAGATTCTGGTTGCCTAGCTAAGGACGCAAGAAAAAGGACCTGGCAGTGTTTCTGCAACTGTGTTCAAGAAGAGCCTGGTCACAATAAACAATGTGAAGGCCGCCATTCCGAGTTGCATGGTTAACTGTCGTTTACAAAGAAAAATATGAAAACTGTCAGCGCTGTTCTTGCTCCCGGGGTCGGGAGCGTTGCGAAGGGTTCTTCTGATCTGTGGAACTCTTTTGTGTAGTAACGCTTTTGCATCAATACATTTGGGAGTGAGAAGTGAGAAGGCTACATGTGTATGTACTTTGAAGAGCGCAGGCAGCTTGCGTGCGTGTGAGACCTCTGCTACTCTCAGTAATACATTTGCAACTGTGAATGATTTGGTTACTCTTCAACTTCAATAGGCATAATAGTAAAATAATGCTACAAGTACATCTGCAGCTTGTAGGGGTATGATGGTCGTGTAGAGCTGCTGCCAGCTGCTGCCCGCCTGCTTCTTTGCAGGGGCATTGCTTTGGTGGTGGGATCTTGCTTTGGTGATTTGCTTTGGCGCTGGGATCTTGCTTTGGTGAATTGCTTTGGTGAATTGCTTCGGTGTTGGGATCTTGCTTTGGTGAATTGCTTTGCTGCTGGGATCTTGCTTTGGTACTGGGATCTTGCTTTGGTGAATTGCTTTGGTGCTCGGATCTGATCTTGCTTCAATGAGATCTGATCTTGCTTCGGTGAATTGCAACTGGGCAGATCACCATCCATACGCATCCATTGAGTTGAATGTTGTAGTATGCCCGATCCTGTGAGACTGATCAGTCTCATGGTTTTCATTCCCTGGGTTGTGCTGCCGGTCACAATGGATCACCTGCGAAACTGCCGTGAAGGTCAGTCTCACGCCGCCGGTGTGGATCATCGATGTGAGTGCGGTACATCGCAGGTCCGTCTGAAAGGGGTTGTGACCTGGTGGGAGTAAACTCCTTCAGGTCCCCAATGGGTAAGTGCAGCAACCACCATGCATAGTAAGATCCATCCCAGGTCATCAAGTTGCTGAGGCATGACTGGTTGGCCGAAGAGGCCTCTTCGTCAAAAGAAGAGCTCAATGTAGTTGCAGCAGCGTTTCCAACACATCCTGGAAACAATGCAGAGCGTTGTACATCGACCTCAGCGTTGAACTGGCTAGAACGCCTCCTGCTTTGTCCGGATGCGCCCTGAAAGCCAGCTTGCGGTAACCTTGACGAACATCGCCAACGCTGGCGCACTGTGAAAGACCCAGCATTGCTTTGTCCTTGGCGTGGCCACCTGGAATGCGGTCGCCGCCCACCGCATGTGGGCCCAATCAAGTAGGCAGCTGACGCTGCGTACCATGTTGATAAGCGCCTTCAAGCACACTTCATCTCTTTCTACTCTCACTTCCACTGTCTCCCAGTGTCCGTTCCCACTCCCAATTTCCATACGGCCTGTGTTGTTTGCCGCCGCCCGCAGCGGTGACAGCAGCTCAGCGGCTCAGCGGCAGGTCTACCTGCAGGCCACCAACACCGTGAACCAGTCCGTCTTTGAGCAGGATCTGAGGATGTACACCCCGGAGGTCAAGCTGACATACTCAAGAGACGAGATGCCACTGGTGCCACCTTTGGTAAAGGACCGTGCTTTGATCAAAGGTGTGTCTTGCTCAACAACTTAAATGAATGCTTATGGGATCTCATGGGCACTGTTCCCACACCTTCTGCGCTGACTACATTTGCTCTGGGATTTGGGGGTGAATGGGTTGGTGTCACTGTCACACCCTCAGGCTGAGGTCGTCATACCCTAATTCATGAGTTCACAGA